TCATTCACATGCTCTCCATCTTCACTTTCATTTACCGGATTCTCAATGATTTGTTCTGTCCGAGCTGCTACATTCACACAGTGAATTGGGGACTGTGCAATGTTATATTCAATATCTGTTACATAAAAAGTAACTTACTTAACAACAATGTAAAATTGTATAAGCAACAATTATCTATTCAAAAGTATATTATGATACTATACCTGCTTTTTCTACCTCAGCTCCTTCCTGAAATTCTGGTTCTTCCTCAACAAGTGCTGGCACACCTTCAGGAGAAACTTCAGCTTCTGTAGATAAATGTAGATGTATGTAGTAATACAATATTTGTGGATATAAAAGTGAATATAATGAGCTTCTGATATTATACCTGCTTGTTGTACCTCAGCTAAATATTAGATATATGTAGGAATTGGTAGTTAAAATGTGAATTATAAAATTTTGCTTTGTAACCTTATTATAATGAAAGTATGATAGTATACCTGCTTTATCTGCCCCAGATGCTTCTTGAAAATCAGGATATAAGTCAACATGTGCTTGAACATGTTCCGGAGAAACTGCAGCTGCAAAACATAGTGAAAAAAGGGTAAATATAATTATATAATGCTGTCTTGAAATTTGTAGATATGTTTGTAGGCATTCTGTAGATACCTGTATTGCTTGTGCTTGCATGCATTTGATCACCAATATTGAACTGAAATTGCTGGTTGTTCTCTCCTTGTTGTTGGTCATTATTTTTGGTTGAACTACCAGCAAACTAAATATTTTGTGTATGTTTGAGTATACTTGTTTCATATGTCATAATTAGTTTTAGTACATAAATATATGTCAATTCTTACCTTTGACTCGTCCACATCGTACCTCCTGTTTATCACCTTCATAACACTCTTCACAGAATCATCTATGAACTCTCGAAGGCTTGAGAGTTCTTGAAATACAGCCTTCTTAAAATTAATTAACTTTCCATCAACCTAAGATTAAAAATGTAGTTAGTTGGTAATTTAATTCAAAGTGCTACAGTTCTAGTACAATTTAACTAAGATGTGTGCAATACCAAAAGGGCTCAATATAGA